CTTATCGCATTCTATTCCTAGTGTCTTACATGGTCCTGACACGAGGCGGGTGCTCAGGAAGTGGGAGTGAGTGTGCGAGTTGGTGAGCATGGAACATGGCCACCTCCAGACCGGAGGAATGGTCCTACTGGTTGTTGGTAGGGAGACTTTATATCCACTCTAGATGAAAGGGTGTTGACCAAGGAATTGGTGTAGGTGGAATATACTTTCAACTGTGTGGGGTTATTAGAAGGTATCTTAAGGATCCTTCTACCACCCTGAAAAGAGTATTTCCTCAATTGGCCTTAAATTCCTTTGGAGTAGGCATATCTTTGTTATTAAAATTGAAAGCTCATTGGGAGCCTTCAGACATCAGCATTTTATAAATCACTATATCAGATAACGTAGTTTTAGGAATACTTTTCTCCCCACAAAAATAGAAGGGGAACTTGGCTTGCCACATGGAGCAGGTCTAGGCAGGATGCTTAGCCTAGACAGAAGTGGTCTAAGAACATTATCAAGTAGTAGTTTTCTAGGAAAGAAGCAAAAGCAGAAGGCAGTGATTGGGAAGGATCTCAAATACAAGCATGAATAACCATTTTTTCTTGAGCTAATCCTTTATACTGAATAAATGGACACACAGAGTTAGGTTGCTTTTTATATGATTCCTGTATCAATGGAAAAGTGACCTGGAAGTTAGAGCAGCTGGAATAATTGGCAACTCAAACCTAAATCAAATGAGAAGTATTTGGGGAGTAAAGGAAAATTTGCTTTTCTCCATGGCTAGAGGGAATAATTGGTCCCATCTGTTCAACTGAGAGCAAAGAACCAAAGCACAAGTTTGGAATCCATTTTCAAATTCTTAAGAAAAGTCTGTTTAAGTATAAAGTTTTTATTACTATCAATGGCTCTACTTAAGATTTAAAAATTAGTCCACTGAAAATTGTTGCAAACCTCCATAAAAAGTAGCACAAGTACCAAGCAGCTGGAAGCTAGAGGTAAATGTAAGACAGTAGCTTTATCTTGAATGTTATTTCCTATATGGAAGAGTAATCAAAAATTTAAAAGAAGGCTCCACAATGGATCAGCACTTTTTTTAATGGGGTTTAGGGCAAACACAGACATGCTTAGAAAACATGCTTGCAGCATAACAAAAATGCATGAAGCAGCCTATGACTGAGTCTGAAGATGGCAGAAAAAAAAAAGTTGTCTGTGACCTTTGATCAGAGATATCCTGGGGCCCTGACGTTTTAGGGGTTTGTACTTAACTCCTGCCCAAGCCCAGAGAAATGGGAAACTATCTCCGATGAAACTTTCCAGTAAGTCTCTGCTCCCATCCCATTCTTATAGGCAACTAATACAACTTAATAAGGGGGGTGAGCTTAATTAAATAAAGAAAACACCAGTTTAAATAACCAGTAATAAACACCTTGCCCTAGTCTCACAAATACCCCAGTCTCTTGGGTCGTAGAGCTCCTCAGAGACACAAAAGAGGCTTGTGTTCAAAGTACTTTTTTTCTTCTACCTCTCTTGCTCCTGCCTCCCATCTCCCTGCCACAGAGTGCTTCAGGAAGTAGGCCATTAGGTTAATGAGTCCAAGTGCTTGCTAGAGGTGGGGGGAAAACAAGCCATGACACAGGAGTGAGGAAAAGGCACACAGAGAATGAAGATCTAAAGCTTTAAAACCCAGGAGAGTTGGGATGGAAGGAGATGCATAAGAGGAAGAAGGAAATGGGAGGAAAGTTAGCTATGATGGGGAATCTCAGTCCTCCTCCCATGTGTCTCCTTCACCCTCACACGCTACCAAAGGCACAGAACTTCTGACACTGGATGTGGGGAGGATTTCCCCTGCCAACCAATTCTCCAACACTACTTAACTCAATCCTGACACCATCTACCTGGAGATAGCACCAGATCCCACCACATTCACAGTCTCACAAGACTATGCCCACTTCAGATGGCCAGTGACGAGTAATAAGACCCCCCCCCCAGCATTTCCTACAACTTCTATCTGATGTGACTACAAATTAGAGGTTCCAAAGACTCCATCCTTGGGTCTGATTAAATTTCTATTGCAGATCACAGAAATCAGGGAAAAACTTATATTTACCAGTTCATTAAAGGATCTGATAGAGGATACAGATGAATAACCAGATGGAGAGATACATAGGATGAGGTTTTGGAGGGTCCCCAAGCTCTATCTTCAGGGAGTTGGGGGTGTGTCACCATTCTGGGTGTGGATGTGTTCCCACCTGGAAGCTCTCCAAACCCCATACTATTAGGATTTTATGGAGGCTTCCTCACGTAGGCCTGGTCAAGTATTGACTCTATTTCCAAACTCTCTCCCCAGTCAGATGGCGGATGGAGCTGAAAATTTCAAACTTCTAACCATGACTCAGTTTTTCTGGTGACCATTCATCCAGTAGCCATCCAGAAGCTCACCAGAGTCACCTCATTAGAACAAAAGATGCTCCCAGTGATCTTATCACTTAGGAATTTATGAGGGTTTTTGGACCTTTGTGCCAGGAACTGAGGGAAGAAACCAATATGTATATTTTCTATTATCTCATATTAGCCCAGGCCACAGTGAAACAATGCATAGGGTGCTGCAGGTGGGCTAATCATTTCACACCCCTTCAAATAGATATGCTTGTGTTAGCTCTCCCTGATGTAACACAATTCCTTCTGACTGATCTTATTAGCTATTGATAATACTTCAACAAATTACACTTAAGCACATATATGTGTATAATTATATATAATAATTTACATATATTATTTATAATTTACAATTATAAATATATAAATTTATATTTATATATTTATATAAATATATTTATATTTATATAAATTTATATAAAATTTATAAAATTTAAAATTAATATATAAAATTTAATGTATAAAATATATACTTATTTTATTATAAAATTCTATATAATTTATTGTTATATACAATATATAATATATAATATATATTACATAATATAAATAATATATAAAATATAAATATTACATAATATAAAAATATAAATATAAATGTAATATATAAATAAATATATATAAATAAATAATATAATAAATATATATTATAATATATAATATAATAAATAAAATATAATAAACATATATTTATTTATAATATATATTTATTATAAAATTTAATATATAATAAAATATATGAAATTTATATAAAATTATAAATATATAATTTATGAATGTATATAATTATAATTTGTAACTTATAATTATATATAATTATTTACATATATTATTTCACAATCTATATCTATCTATATATACTTTTATGTGTACTCTGTATATTATATATACATATATATGTATGTATGTATATGTATATATATTTTTGTATGTGTATTTTGTGTGTGTGTGTATATATATACATATATATGTATATGTGTGTGTGCATATATGTATATAATATATATATTATATATTATATATATATAATTCCACTGTATAATCAAATAACCTCCTGTTTTCTCAGTTACAACTCCCAAGGAAGCCTGTGACAACTCCTGAAAAAGCCCCACAGAGTGGAAAGCCAATTACAGATTTCAGCAAATTTCTTCAGAAGTCTGCCTTTGTGACTTGATGATTATTGGGCAAAGCTAAGCAGATAGAAAACTGATTTCTTTTGAATAAGAAAAACATATTTGCGTCAGATTTTGAAATGTGAAGTTCATGAAATAGAACATTCTCAAAGTTCACCCCAGTGCTTGCTCTCTCTTCCAGCAATTTTCTCTGTTTGCTTTCTGTGTTGGTTACAGCTTGTTGATTAATCATATCTGGTTCTCTTTTTGATTGGACCACCATGTTTGGTGATTTTTCTGGGCTCCAATTGTTCTTTAAGGGCTTTAGTCCATCTTAACTGTCCTTAAGTGTCCTTCTATTCTAATCTATTTGGTCTCTTCCCTATAGTCCCATTAGCATTTTTCCCTCACAGTTTCTAAAAGTTCTTACACATAGTCTTTTCATTTTTAGACATATTAAATTCAAGTCTTTGTTTGGTAAATAAGTGCTCATAAACATTTAATTCTAAAAATTGCCACCTCCTCGGGGCGCCTGGGTGGCGCAGTCGGTTAAGCGTCCGACTTCAGCCAGGTCACGATCTCCCGGTCTGTGAGTTCGAGCCCCGCGTCGGGCTCTGGGCTGATGGCTCAGAGCCTGGAGCCTGTTTCTGATTCTGTGTCTCCCTCTCTCTCTGCCCCTCCCCCGTTCATGCTCTGTCTCTCTCTGTCCCAAAAAAATAAATAAAAACGTTAAAAAAAAAAATTAAAAAAAAAAAATTGCCACCTCCTCTTCTTCACTGGCTCCCCATTTTCAATCCTCAGTAATGAACAGGCATGAGCTTCCATGATTATTGGCTCGAGTGATCATGTGAAACCATGTCCAATTAAACTCTGAGGAAGCAAACTAATTTCCTATATACAAATATTTATTCATGTTTAAAAATGAAGATGAGAATAAACTCATTTACTACTTACGAAGATTTTATACTCTGTTTTTAAGAATAAAGAATTATTTATTTTTAGAATAAAGAATTTCCTACATGTCACTTTTCTTTCTTTCTTTCTTTCTTTCTTTCTTTCTTTCTTTCTTTCTTTCTTTCTTTCATGTAATTTTTCAAACCAGACAACTCCTGGGTGAAGCATTTTAAGTCAGTTAAGACTTTAGCTAGGGGTGCCTGGGTGGCTCAATCCAGGTAAGCATCCAACTCTTGATTTTGGCTCAAGTCATGATCTCACAGTTGGTGAGTTTGAGCCCCACATCGGGCTTGGCGCTGACAGCACAGTTTGCTTGGGATTCTCTCTCTCTTTCTCTCTCTCTCTCTCTCTCTCTCTCTCTCTCTCTCTCTCTCTCCCTCTTACTCTCTCTGCCTACCCCCCCCCCAAAATAAATAAATACACTTAAAAAAAAGATTTTAGCTAATACAACTTATTACCTTTGTCACATAGTCAGCCATTTGTTATGTATCACTTAGTTTCAGAATGGTAGCTCACCTGACTTCTGGCTTTGCTGGTCTGAGTTCGTGGTCCAACCTTGGGCTGCACCATGCAACTTACATACCTGCATTACAGAAATAGATAAGAAAAAAATGAGAAGATCCTGGCGAGGAACACTTTTCCAAAACTTCCCATGAAGGTTGGAATTTCAATTTATATTTCACTAGTTGGGAATCTTAATTAATTAATGCCATTATTCAGATTTGCATCAGTGATTTTTTTAAAAAGATATTACCTGTCAAGGTATTGCTTAAGTGAGTCAACCATTTTAACCAAAATATCAATTTTAATCAAATGCTCTAGCAAAAAAATATTATTCTCATTAAGCCACCCACTTCCAAGTGTTACAGCCCACTTTTGCTTGACTCTGATTGGTTCTGAAAATACTAGAAATATTTAGCAAGTTCAATATCACTTTTAGAAAGATTTTGTTAAAATATTTAAGAATTTCTCCACTTTCTGATCCTCCAAAGCAACAGTTCCCCAATCCTTAACGAAATGTGAGTCCAGTGATCCCAAATATAGCTGAAAACTTTTGGAAATGTAAAATCTTTTTTTTTCTTTAGCCCAGTGAAGAATTAAAAACTATTGATTCTGCATCTATTTTAAATTAAAATTAAGATACCAACAACTTAACTACGTCTAGTTCCAAGAAGAGATTAGTCACTTTGCAGTCCCATAATTTCTGCTACAAAGTCTGCCTAACCACTGGGATTTATGAATTAAAGAGGACAAAAGGGAAAGGAAAGAGAGATTGTGTTCATCATTGAAAAGGAGGCCATGAGTAGATCTGGCTGACATCTTTGCTTTCTGGTGACATATTAAACAAGGTCGAGATACACTATGAAAATGATCAACTATGGATGGAGACGGGGGTTAGGTAGAGTTGATGTGGTCCTGCTGTTTGTGTGTATTTGTTTGGGGAACATTTTGATACCCCTGGCAAGAACTGGATCCTGTGCTAACATTATATTTACATGGAATGCTGTAATACCAAGCTTGCAAACTTGGCTTGGGGTCTGTATCCAGCCCATCAAACTTATCTGTTTGATCTTCACAATCTTAAAAATAAATTGAGCCAAGATCTAAAGATCAAGTGATTTCATATAAACACTTTCAGTTCTGACTTTTTTGAAAAATCAGAATAAGATAAAATCACGTAAGACAATGGTTTGTATTTCCCATAAACTCTAATTGCATAGAACTGAGTAGCAGCTGTCCACCCCCAGTCTGTCCATCATTCACAACTTTTTCCCTGATACTGAGTTTCATTTGCCATTTAGCATCATGCTTGAGCTCTTTTTCTGAGTAATAGCAAAATATCATATCTTGAAAGTAAAAAAATGAAAGGCAGGCTAAGAACTATTTTCCCCCCAAAGATAAATGACAGACTACATTTATTTATGCAAATGAAAAAATCCATACGTTTAATAAGCAAACAAGTTGGGTCTGTGTCAAAATAAGACAATTAAAAATATCTAGCCATCCTACTAATTTATGTTACTCTCATGGCCCATGTAGGCGTTGAAGTTTGCAAACCCCGAATTATTATATTCTCTGCATCGGTGGTTCTCAATGAAAGGGTATAGAGGAATATCAGAATCATCAAGTGGCTTTTTCAAAGTACACTTCCTTCCACATGGACAATTCTGGGATGCATGCTCCTCTGGAGGCTTCATTTGATTGTGAAAGCTGTCTAGGAGATTCTGGTGGAGAACTCTATATCTGATTTTCAGATGAGATCTATGGAAAGACATCCTGACGTCTTTTTTCCAATTTCTCTCCCCATTCCATCCCCAAATAACACACCCAACGGCCCAAGAATTCAGGCCTCATGCCCACCACCAATAATGAAGCTAAAGTTATGTGTATAAATGGTGAGAAGCTGCCAACAAGTGTCTTCTGAGAAGTTCCTGCTTCAAATGGTGTGTGGGGGTCAGAGTTGGGGTAAAAGCTACCTGATACCTTTGAAAATGTGTTAGGACAGTTAGCTAAAAGCCAGGATGTCTCCAGATAGGTGGTTCACAAATTTGAAAACCTGGGGAGCTTATTAAAATATCACTGCCCAGGCCTACACCATTGTTTCTATTTAGTAATTCTGGTGTGGATGTTGAGAAACTCAAACTGACAAACTGACCATGGCCAGACTATATATAAAAATAGGAGTCTGACCCACAGCCTCTGCAGCAGCCAGTCCATGAAGCCAAACCACAGCCTCCACAGCAATCAGCCCCAAACAGCCATGATTTGATCAATTAACTGCCAGCTTCCCTAATTTTTGTCCCTGCTCTCAACATAGCACTAACCAGAGAAAGCTAAATGTGTTCTCCTAACTAATCACATATGATGTTCTACTTCGTTGGTTCTTCCAGCTTCCCCATGCCAGCAACCTCCAATCAAGGCATACCAGAGTCCTTCCCTTTTTCACTATAACCGTTTACATTCCACTTCCCACCTTTGTGTTTCTGCCAAATGCAAGTGATGGTGCTGACTCCCTTGCTATGGCAAGTTCTGAATAAATAGACTTTGCCTGTTTTCATTTGGGTGGTGTTTATTTATTTTTACAGGTTGCAGGAAACAATATTGTCAGTAGGGTCTCCAGATAATTCTGTTGCACACTAACATTTAAGAGCTATTGCTAGGGACCACACTTATGTTTCCCAGGTTTTACAAGGATTAGTTGTGCATGTATGTGTGTAGGGAGAGAACACAGATTCTCATGTCCTACCCCAAGCCCCAAATAAAATAGTCCAGGAAGTGGGTTCAGATCTTCTTTAAAAAATAAGCCTCCTCTTCCAGGTGATTCTTATTGTCAAAGGCATTTGTGAGCTACTGAACTATGTGAACTACTGTTCATAGGTTTGTATCAGGTTGGCAGAATACAAAACACCTAGAAAGCTTATTATAAATCAAGGTTTCTAGGCTCCACCCTTGGAGACTCTGATGTTAGTCTGGGCTCTCCCAGAGATTTTGATGGGTAGCATGTTCTGGGAAGGAGTGCTCTATTCCAAACAGCAATGTGCATACAAAATCCTGGAGTCCCTGGAGATCTTATGAAAATGCAGGTTCTGAGACAGTGGTCTGAAGTAGGGCTGAGATTCTGCATGTCTAACAAGCTTCCCATATGATGCTTCTGTGGTTGGTCTGCTAATGACACTTGAAGCACTCAATGTTGACTGCACACTAAAACCAAATGGGGAAACAGCTTCAGGGGTGAGACTCAGGCATCAGGAGATCTCATCACACAGCCAAGATCACTTGTTCCTCTGCCCACTGCTTAGCCATGTGATTGGAACAGTGTTTTTGCAGGAATGGCAGCTTAAGCAACCTGATTGGAAGTCTGCTGAAATTGGTCATGGCATGTCACTCACTCCTCAGAATGGTTTTGTGGCTCTTGCACTTTGCTGTGGGCCTGAGGATGCCTAGAAGTCCACCAAATGCACTGAAAAGAGCTTGCTCCGTGGAGCTCCTGTTGAATCACCTTGTTGTCAGATTTCAGGGGCTTCCTGCTGAGGGAGAGGTATGACGATGGCCCAGAATATCCCATGTGCCAAGCAGCTGGGGAAGCAAATGCTGAGAGATAATTGGTCTTCAGTGACCAAGGGAATTTCCATAAGATAAGTTTGTTTTTAACTCAGAGATGAATGTGATAGGGCTTTACCAACTGAAAAAAAAAAAAAAAAAAAAAAAGACACCAAAAACTCTGGGTGGTCAGATTTGCTTTTTTTTCATCTTTCTTTGCTAGGGTTTCATGACTGATTATAAGGGTAAGGGAGATGATAGTGTTGCTGTTGATGAGAAGGCAGATTTGGATGGGTTATAATCACAATTTACTCTTCACCAGATGGCTTCGTCCTGTTGCCAAGCATTTGATGAGCTATTTCACGAAGACTGTGTGGGGATGGGTTAATGCCTGAAAGCCTGTGGATTTGAATGGACGAATGTGAAGGTACTTAACAGATCCTGGGATGCTTGGCTTGTTTTTGCTTAGCAGATAAATAACCTGGTGCATAATAAAATCTAAGAGAGCTATTCCAGAAGAAAACAACCTCATACTCAAGGACTATGTGGGTTTTAGGTGAACAAGGATGCTAGCAGAATTGAGCAAAATTGTAATAACTGGCCTGGAACTATTTTATCATGAGGTCATGGACACAAGTTTTTAAAAATCATCTATCCAAAATGCATCATAATAAATCAATCATAAAATTCTCCTGGCTGATAAACATTTCAATCTGCCTATACTCTGTAATTATCCACAGAAAACATTCCCTGCATAATGAATGGCTGCTGTTTTCAAGCATGTCTTAGTATACAAACAAAAGGTATCTCTAAGAAATATTCAGATATCTGAAGCCTGGGCCATGTTAGAGCCAGAGGCTCTTTGTAATTATAGTGATGCAATGCCTTAATACCCAGGCAAATGTTTTCAGGTTAGCAGGGGAAGCAGAAGAATGCCCATAGGGAAAAAATTCTTTATCATCTATAGACGAATACATGTCTGGTTTCAGAGGAACAAGATAGCTCTCAATAGCTCTGATAGGCAGTGGTGGGCCTAATGGACATGAGTTATTGGACATGTGTCACATATGTCATATAACATATTATTATATCATATAATGTATATAATTTATATATTTATAACATAAAACATGTTATTTTATATTATATATTATATACCATGCACCTTTACTTTAACAACAAATTTGATGTAAATTCAAAGGTGTTTGAACAGAGAGGTCTAAAAGATCAAATGGATTGGCTGAACTTTATATAAATGTATAACAAATGGTGATAGAGACACTCCAGAGCAACCAAAGAAAATAAGTATTTTTTAAAATTTTTTAATGTTTATTTATTTTTGAGAGAGAGAGAGAGAGAGCACAAACAGGGGAAGGGCATAGAGAGAGAGGGAGACACAGAATCCAAAGCAGGCTCCAGGTTCAGACCTGTCAGCACAGAGCTCGACTCAGGGCTCAAACTCACAAACTGCAAGATCGTGACCTGAGCCAAAATCAGACGCTTAACCAACTGAGCCAACAGGTGCCCCAAAAATAAATTTTA